TACGAGTTAACTCCTAGGATACTTAGAAATTAAGTTAAGTAATTTCTAATCCTATAGAATAGAATAGCGTTTTATAGAATCTTTCGTAAGGCTTAAGTATAGCCTTACCTAATAGATACTACGTAATCCTAGCTTATATAAGCCTAATTACGTAACTAGGCGTTAATAGAGTATCGCTTAGTCTTAATATAGACCTTTAGATTAAAATAGTCTATTAAAAGAAAGTCGTTTTCGATACTAAAATATATATCGTTCTTCTTTATCTAGAATAGCTTAAGAATAATATCGTTTACTAGATTCGAAATAATATAAAAGAACGCTATTTCCTTATAGCTATCGATATCGACTTTAACCTTCGCTACTTCGAAGATTTTAAATCGTATAAAGGAGTCGAATTCGGAGATCGAACGAAGAATAATAGAAATACGCTTAAAAGAATAGCGAGAAGCGAAGCGAGAATTAATTAAATTATATAATAAATAACTAGAATTAATTAGAGCCGATATATAATATTACTTATTTAAAAGTAATAAAACTATAAAGAGTTAGTTATCTATCGAGGATCGAAAAGCCTTTTATTTCTTTTTCGTCTTCTTTATACGCTTCTACCGATAACTTCTAATAGAAACTACTCTTTTAATAGTTCTTTATCTTCGTCTATAGTCTCTACTACTACTATTCTCCTCTTCGTCTTAGGTCGTACGATAAAAAGGAAAGGATATTTAACGATAAAGTAATTTCGTTAGTCGTAATGGAAATACGCTTCGAGCTCCTTTTTCTAGTTAAGTATCGTTTACGATACCTATAAAGCTCTCTATTAGGCTACGTAACGAGTTAGGTTAGACAATCCGTAGACCTTTTATAACCCGAGTAAAAAGCCCTATAGGGTTTTTAGTGTTACGGATTAAACCCGTAGGATGTCTTAATAAGAACTAGCGACGTCTAGATTCGACCGTATAGTTATATAGCCGAACGATATTACGTAATATTAATAGATATCTTAGCGAGCGACACTAAGACTAAACTAGCGATACCTAGATTCGACCGTATAGTTATATAGCCGAACGATATTATATAATACTAATAGTTACTTAGGATACCGGGCGACCTACCTTAGGAGATTATATCTCTCTATAAATAGCGGTAGGACTTCTTTTTCTCTTCCCTTTAGCTTAACGTCCTTATTAGATAGGCCCTATAGTAGTTAAATAAGCTTCTATTAGAACCCTTATATTTAGTCCTTATAAAAACTCGATTAACTAAAAACCTAATAGGATTTATACTTCTATTAGGTTTAGTCTTAGTAGCCTAAATTACTAAAAATAGAGATTATTACTTAGATTATTACTATTTTTCTTAAAAATAGTCTATTTTTAGTAACTCTTAGTAGCCCTATTAGGTTTTAAACCCTATCCTCTTTTTTTTTAACCCGATTAAAAAATCTATTAAATTTTTAGCTATTTTAGAAACTTAATTAATTTAACCCTATTAGGTTAGGTTCCGGGTTTTTAACTAGGTTTAGCCTAATTCGTTACGTAGCCTACTATCTATAGTTCTACCGAGAACGCTATAGCTTATATAGTCGGCGTATAATCTATTTTATCTTTTATATAACTAGTAGTATCGAACGAGTTACTTCTAGACGTCTTCTCTCTAGCTTTCTTCTATCGAAGAGCCTCTAGATTTATACTAATCGTATAGAAGAAAGTATAATACTCTTTATAGATTAATAGAATTAGTATTATAACGAGGGCGCTCTTTAAGTCGTACGAAAAGTAGTTTAATATAAACGTCTTCTTTATCGAGTCGGCCTAGTCTAGTTCGTCGACCTCGAGTAGCGTATAATTAAACGTAGCTAGAAATACGCTAAAGGACTTTCCGTTCTACTTTAGTTAAGAAAGCTTTCGTAATACTCTTTCTACGACGTCGATATCCTCGTACGCTATCTTTAATTAACTAATAAGTTCTTCTATATTTATTTCGAGGATTAATTATATAAAATTAATCTACGAACTAATCTAGATATAAGCGTAGCTCCTTAGTCTACTATAGAAATACTAAAATTATACGACTTCGATTTCCTTCTACTTATTAACCGCTAACTTAACTCGAGCTTAAGTAAGCTACGACCGAAATTCTAATCTTTTTCTATTAAATTTAGTTAGCTTAAAGAACTTAGTCTTTCGTCGTATAGAGTCGAATTTATATATAGCGCTCGTCGTCGTAGAAGTCGTTACTTTAAGCGTACGAGCTTATACTCTATTTTATTAGCCGAGTTAATTCTCGAGTACTATTATTCTTTAATTTTAAGCCTATAAGAGCTAGTATAGCTCTACCGCCTACGCTAGAGCGATTTTCGTTAGTTATTAATCGTTATCTATTTCGTACGCGGTACTCTTTCGCTACGTACGATAGTAAGCTTTAGAATAATATAAGAGTTTAGCTAGAAATTTAG